TTTGAGTTTTAAGTATTTTCTGTCTTTCCTTTGCTTGCTTAATGTTTCCTTTCTTTATTTTCTAACTTTTTCTCTTTCATTCTTTCTCTCTTTCTTTCTTTTTTTCTTCTTTATATTTTTAAGTTTTTTGTTTTTCCTTTGCATTCATAATTTTTCCTTCTTTACTTATTTTTCGCTATTTTCTTGCATTTCCTTCTTTCTTTGTATTTATTTTTCTTTCTTTTTCTCATTTACGTCTTTCTTTCTTTCTTTTTCATTTGTTTCTTTCATAATTTTCAATTTTTCCATCTTTCCTTCTGCCCTTTTCTTTCTTTCTTTAAGTTTTCTTTCATTGTATTTTTTCACGTCTTTGGTTTCCTTCATTTTCCATTCATATTTCATATATTTTCTTGTATTTCATTTCTCTTTCATTCTTTCTTTCTCTTTTCTTGCTTAACTTCCGTTTTTCTTCTTTCTCCACCTTCTTCTTTAATTCTCTCTTTTATTGTTTCTTTCATTCTCTCTCTTCTTTGCGAATTCATTCTTTCCCCTTTTCCTCCGTTCTCTATTTCTCGTTTCTTTCTTTCTTTCTTTTTCACTCTCCTTTTCTTCTTTCTTTCTTCCTCTTTTATTCTCTCTTCCTCTCTTCGTTCTTTCCTTTTTCCTCTCCTTTTTCTTTATTACACCTTTTCTTTCCTTCTCCATTTCTTTTTTTTTTTTTTTTCTTTCGAGCGTCTTTTCCTCATTGCTTCTTTGAGCCTCATTCTCAATTTTTGAATAATACTCCTTGCCCTCTTCTTCTTGACGCAAAACAAACAATCCAGAATCTGAATGCCAGTGTTGCCGGCTTTTAATTCTTCCAAACTCGAAACGGATGCCAACCTAGACATTGAAGAAAATTAATTGCAGTTGATTTTTTTTTTTTTTTGCTGACTTACCATAATTTTCAAGGCAAAAGAACCTGAAAGAAATAACAGCAAGAACTTTTCTATGGGTATTATTCTTTTATTCTCTGAGTCATTGTCATGCTCGATACAAATTATTCAACATTAAAATTTATTAGAGGAATTCAACCATCAAAAAGTCAAGCCCCGTGTGGTAAAATGGTTTGAATAAATATACATTTAAAAGAACATTACAATGAAAATCTTACCAATGATCTAGTAACTTAAAAGATAGATTAGACTCTTAAGCCTTGAATGGAAGCCAGTCTAGGAAAAGGGAAATTGTAGTGTTTGGTTCGGTTTGGTTTGGTTTGTTTTACAGTATAACATTCTGAATGGGTTATTTAATACCGACAAGATTTTTATTAATGGTAATTTATTTTTAAATATATTGCTGATAATATTTTTTCCAAAAATGTGTTGCTGCTAATATTTTTTTCAAAAATGTATTGTTGGTAATAATGTAATTTTTTCTTCAAAAATTTATTGCTGCTATTTTTTTTTTTTTTTTACAAAAACGTATTACTGTATTAAAACCTATTTTTACACATTCATAATGTTTTGTCCCCAGCTGGGGGAGTAACTATAGATGCTACTACCTTTGATGAAAAATGGATCTTTGAAATACCAGCAATTAAGAGGTGGTTCCTCGATCCTCAATGAGGCCTTTTTGGTTTGATATATAGTTTATCGTCTTCCAGAACGCGGATATAGTTTATCGTCATAATGTTCAGGACGGTTATTTTAGTATACGAGTGCTGTTTGGATTGTTAGTATTTAAATGTGTAAGGTGGATTCTGAGGAGAAAATTGTCTGCTACGACACAGTGAACCAACTTTCCTAACAGTAGACCTAGCAATAGATTCAACATAATCACTTCACCTCATGTCAGTAGAAAACCTGAGATCAAGAATCCGCAAGGAGTTGCTCCCCTGGAGGTTAGCATCAGACATGCATTAAAAAGCAATGGAAATCTTGCCTCACAAAGAATATGATCTGGTAACTTAAAAGATATACTAGACTTTAAAACCCTTGAGTGGCGGCCAGTTTAAGTGAAGGAAAATCTTCATCGTAGAAAAGGCAATAGGTTAATACACATTTAACTTTCCCAAGAAGTCATCGAAATTCAAAAATATTAAAGAAAAGGAGACGGTGGGGAGCCATGACCAATTACGCCCTGAAAGGATATAGCATTAAAAAAGAAATTCAGAAGTGTTCATTAAAGGTATTTAGCTACCTAGAATTTGTGAAAAACTTTGCATCTATATATTAATACGCATATGCTGACCTGTGTATGATTATGGCAAGTTGATTTTTTCCTTTTTTTTTTATAAATCAATATTGCACTCGATGTAGAAGCTGCGATATCATGTGATAATTAGTGGAGTGAAGAAGTAAGTTCGCCGCTTTCATTAATTGTTGAGCATTTACTTTTAAATATCGTATGAAAAGAGCAGTGGAAAAGAACTAGAGGGCGGCCATAGACAAAACAAAATGGACAGCAAGGCAGCGGAAAAGAACTAGAGGGCGGCCATAGGCAAGACAGAGTGGACAGCAAGGCAGCGGAAAAGAACTAGAGGGCGGCCATTATCAAGACAGAGTGTACACCAAGTCAGTGGTCACGAAATAGAGGGCGGCCATAGGCAAAACAGAGTGGACACTAAGGCAGTGAAAAAGAACATGATGGTGTCCAAAGGAAAAACAGTGTGTACACCAAGTCAGTTAGACTCTAATTCTTTTCTACTAACTTGATGTTCATTCTGTCGCTAAAAGTGTCATACCCAAACTGTGTTTTATACTGAAATATCTTAGCAAAGGTTTTGAGAGACGGAAATGGCTAGTTAGAAACAAATTAAATAGTATTGAAATAATAAATATAATATCGGCCCTTCTATATGGAAGCGAATCCTAACAGCTGAATAAGCGACTTGAAGCAACAAAAATGTGGTTTTACTGATGTTGAGAATACCACGAACTGAAAATGTGGGCAAGAACAAAGTTTTAGAAATTAAGGAGATTTATAATTATAACCAGAAAGAAACATTTGAAATTTCTAGGGTTCCTAATGGGGAAAGAGGGCTTGTAGAATATTGAAGGCGAGATGTATGTAACATCACAAGCAAAGCATGTAATTATTTATTGGATTCCATAAGTAGAAACTGTACAAAATTGTAAAAGTTACAAAAATGCTACTTAATGAATAAGATTTGTTAGATCATTTGTTAAATCATAATTAATAAAAACAAAATATAGATAAAAGTGTATATAACACCATAAAACTACTTTTTTCTAAAGACAAAATGTTTTTAGATTTGCATTGTTTATTGAAAAATGTAATGAAATACTTTATTTCAGAAGGTTTTTGCTTACAAATTCAAAATCTTGTTATATGAAGAATAAATCCAAATGAAGTTTCTCTTTTGTATTAGGTACATTGAACGGAAAATATATTCAAACCAGAAATCAAATTATGAATCACCACAAGCAAAATATGCAATATTTTTATCATATTTGATAAGTGAAAATTATAAAAAAAAAAAAGAAATGAAGAGACTACGCAATGAATAAGATTTGTTAGATAATTTGTTAGATCATCATACTTATTATAAAACCCAGGTTGTGTGTATGTGTGTGTCTGTTTCGTTTATATATTGGATCGGATTTTCTACATTTTTCAACCGATTTCAACAAAACTTCACAGGACTACGTAAAATTACCTTGCAGTGGTTCTGACAGCGCCAAATTTTGGAAAAACACAATTGTTTTTGCACGAAATCAATTTGAAAACACAATTAAGAGGCATCACTGTCGAGAATGAAAGGAGGACAACTCATATCGAGTTATACTTATTAAATAAACCCAACCCAGTGTGTGTGTGTGTGTGTGTGTGTGTGTGTGTGTGTGTGTGTGTTCGTTTATATATGGGATCGGATTTCATACATTTTTCAACCGATTTTAAATTTTATCACTTTTTTTGACAGGTAGTGTTTCTTATTGTCTTGCACACTTTTTTTTTTTTTTTTTACATTCAGAATGCTTTAAAAAAAATTCCATTTACAAGACAATTGTTTATAACAAAATTCTATTAAATCGGTAGACTCATAACGTTTGAAAACAATGTTTTTGTTTGAGTTTGGGTTTGACCAATTCGTAAAAAAAAGAAGAAAAAAAAACTAATTAAGACATGCGTGTGCGTCAACCTTAAACAATAATCTTTGTCAATTTTATTTTTCAGTCTTTATGATGGTCGATACTTGATCTATCTATTACTGTTACATCCCCGAGCAACGCCGGGCTTCACTTTAGTATATATATATATATATATATATATATATATATATATATATATATATATTCAAACATATATTGTTGGATATAACAGACAACGAATATCTATTATGTTTGATCATGAGCCGTTCTAAACTTCGTATAGTGGCTTTAGTTTCGGGAGAAAATAAAGACAAAAAACTATACAACATTTAAATATTTTCTTATTATGCTGTTCCTCGTTCTAAGCTTTCGGCTCACATGTTGCACAATTTTTATCTTTATTTTCTCTTGAAACTAAAGCCACTGTACGATGCTTAGAACAGCTCACGATCGAACATAATAGACATTCGTTGTCTGTTATTTATGACAATATATATATATATATATATATATATATATATTGATGTGTGCTATCTTTTCTCCTAATTCGTAACAGTACGTAGCTATCAATGCCGTAAGCACAGTTTAAAACTTGGTATTTGTAAATAAAAGTAAAGTACAGATAACTCTTTGAGAAATCAGAGGTTGATTTGAAACTGCTTTTTATCATTCTAAATTTACTCAAGAATCAATTTCGTTCAATGTGGCGAGAGGAAGGTTTCATGAATTTTCTCCAGTTTTTACGAGTTAATTTCAGTAGGTCTTTTTAAATAGACTTATTGTCACCATTTTCCCAGTCGTAAAAACGACTCAGCAAATTTAACTAAACGACACCGGTCAATCCTTTTTATGTTACATAATGTTGTTGTTGGTGACGGGCATGTTATCATTGTTGGTTTTATAATAATAATAAAACGTGCAGCTTACCAACGGTCTGGTATCTGGCCACAGTATTTAGGCCGAAATTTGTCAAGACATCGGGTACACCACAACGAGACATCAGCATCATTTCATATGTTCTGCTGTCCATCTTTTTTGTCACGGGAACATTAGCCATCATCTGGAAGTTCCTTTAAAAATATAAGAAAACATTTCATTACTATCTTTCTCAACCGTTGTGTCCCCCACCCCCGGAACACTAGGTTTCCGCAAGAGGCTGCTAGGGGTTTCACAAGAAACAGTGATAAATAGGCTAATGCAATCTTAAGTAATTTTCGTTTCATTTTATATTCGTAATTTTGCTATACACGTACGGCATACTGTTGGAAAATCCTTGGTTTCTTTAATAAATGCTTTTAATTCTTATATTATTTTAAAATATAGTAATCATAGGGAATGTCTTTAGCGATGTTTGCATGGTATCAGTGTGAAAACACATTCACTGGTTAGTAGAGAGGACCTGTACATGGCAGATTCATGTATCATTGAGTGACTCACTCAAGTACAAGACACATGCACTGTGTATATATATATATATATATATATATATATATATATATATATATAAATTGATTTATTTAAAATATGGTTTTTTTTTCACTACACAGTTTTAACCATGTTTCAAAAATGGAAGCTAAAAGCTACGAATTTAATTTTGTAATTAAATTAAAGACATTAGTTCCATTTCATCCTCAAACGAATTTTTAGAAACTTTTAAACCCCGTCCGTTAATATAAATATATAAATAGTGTTATATATATAAATTCAACCCTAAAATAATTTTGTTTATAGGAACCCTAGAAACAGTTTATAAAGGTTATTCGTTTTTGAGTAAATTATTCAAATTTATATATACATAAACGTCAGTGATAAATGACGTTAATACGTTTTGTTTAATTGATACATGTACGGCATACTATTAGAAAATCCTTGTTGTAATTTATTTTTATTTTAAAATATAGTAATCATAAGGGAATGTATTTAACGATGTTCATGGCATTTTACACTGGTTAGTAGAGAGGACTTGTACATGGCAGATCATTGAGTGACTTACTCAATTATAGGACACATGCACGTGTCTATATATATATATATATATATATATATATATATATATATATATATATATATATATATATATATATAAAACAAATTTATTTATTAAAGACATATTTTATGTTTAATAAATAAATAAATTGTCGGACCTTGTCCATTTCTTAATATATGACGTCATTTGTTTACATTCGATACGCCAGAGCAGTTATGAATGTACGAGATTCATGGAAAATTGGATTTTATAAACAGTAAATTCGACCTTGTCTACCGAACGCTTCTTTGTAGCCTAAGCGGTAAGGCACGTCAGCGTATATGACGGTTCCGTATAGGATGCAGGTTCGAATCCTGTCAAAGAACGAATATTTTCTATGAAAATTTCTCGGACATTCAGGCCGGTAAATGTTATTTAATACTGTTTATCATAAACAGAGCATTTGCTTAAATACTTGTATCTATAAAATAACAACGTTAAACATAAAATATGTCTTTAATAAATAATATATGTCGGACCTATATATATTTTTATATATATATTATATATAAAATATATATATATATATAAAAAATGTTATAAAAAAATTATTTTTTATACTTTATGTTTGTAGCTAAAATAAAATTGTAATTTCAAAATTAATGTAAATTTTTTATAAATTAAATACAAAACTTTCTCAAAGTAAATCGTTATTTTAAAATATCCATTCTATTTATAATGAATATTTCTATTAAAAATTCTTAATTTAAAAAAATTTCAAAATTTAAAAAAATATAGATTTTTTTTTTCTAATCCTTTTTAAAAATTATTTTTTATAATAAAAATAAATATAAAAAATTTTTTTAAATTTCAATAAAATTTTAAAAAATAATATATTTATATTTATATATACATATATTATAAATTTTATTTATATATATATTTCATAATAAATATATAAATATAACGATTCATATTTTAATAAACATATATTTTTTTTATTATATAAATATTTATATATATATATATATATATATATATATATATATATATATATATATATATATATATATATATATATATATATATATATATTTGTACTTATTTATATATAAAAATTTAAATTTTATTTATTTTAAAAAAAAATTAATCGATTAATTTAATATTAAATTTATTAGACTTTGAATATTTGTTATTCTTTATTTTAATATTTGAAATCTAGAAGATTTTAAAACTAAGAAAGCATAAAAAAAAATAAAGCTTTCCAAATTTGAATATCATTAACAATATATTATCATCCATAAAAAAATTTTGCAGAAGTATAACGTATTTTAATTATATTATTTTTGCAAACATGTTTATGTTTTGCTGCAATATGTGAAAAATGCAAAACAATGCAATCATATATTTATTATTTCTTTTAATTCCTTATATTCGTAAATTGCCATATATGTACATCACATTGTTGGAAAATCTTTTTTATTTTTCGATAAAAATTTTTTTAATTTTTCTTATTTAAAATTATAAACATAGTGAATGTTCATTTTTGAGTTTTGTTTATATGGCGTCATAAATTTAAGCTAGTCATCAGAATAAAAAATTTTTAGTCCTATATTATTTTATTTTGGTTTCTCATTTTTGAATATTTTTTTAAAATTTATATTCGTAAATTTGTTATATCATACAGGAAATATTGTTGTAAAATTTTGGTTTATTTTATTTATTTGAATTTTAAATATATTATCAATTTTAAAATTATTTAATGTTAATCAAATAAATTTATATATGGCTGACATTTTTTATGTTTTAGAAAACAAACGTTCTTTTTAAGGCTTTTTCAACAATGCGAAACCCAGGAAAGGATTGGACTCACTTTTTCATCAGTTGTAATTCACCTTTTTAATTGCTTAAATCGAAAAATATATATTTTTATTTAAAAAAATATTTGATTTTGAATCTATATTTTGATTTGAAATTATGTAAATTATGTAGCACGGACTATTGTTCCCATCTTTTTTCGCCATATTTATTTGAAAAATTCGGCCGTTGTACGCTCGGACTTTTTTCTCAAATGAAATGGATAGAAAAAATGAATTCATTCATATATAATATATATTCTTTTTTATAAGGCGGAGATTATTATATTTATTAAAACTTTAAAAACTTGCTATTCAGCTCGATCTAAAAATTATTTTTTTTATTTTAATTACATATTTCATTTACAAATTCAATTTTATTAAACTCCTTCGTCATAAAAATAAAATATAATCATATTGGTTTATATTTGGGTTTTTTTTTTCATGTTCGTTTACAAATATTTTTTTTTTAATGAAAAAATTGGATATGTGAGGTTTTTTAAATGAGTAATATTTTTTTTTTTTATTTTTGAATAAAATTAAACAAAAAAAAATTAATTTTTTTTTTAAAATATTCCGAAAAATTCATTATGCTTTTTCATGGTTTGAAAGTACAATCAAATTTATACTTTCTTTTTTTTAAATCTAATAAATATAAATATATAATTTTTTTTTTTTTTTAATTCTGGATAAAGTGTTGGTTCTTCTGAATCTGGTGACATTAGTAATTTACGATTCGATTTATATTTCCATTATTTAAATGTTTTCATTTATTGGTTTTAAAATTTTTTAATTGGTTAAAAATGCAAAAAAATTATTCATCCCTTTTTTTTTAAGAATAAAAATTCCAGAAAAAATTTTTTAAATATTTTTTTTTAACAAAATTTTGCGAAAATTAAATTTTCAGTTATGATGTTTTCTTGTTGTGTTTCTGGACTCAGTTAAATTTTTCTTTCATAGTATTATGCCTGATCAGTTTTAAAAATATATATAAACTAGAAATATATATACGGATCTACTTCATTAAAAAAAATTAAAACATCAATTTCATATTAACGATTTTAAATATTTCCCTTCAATTACTGGAAATATCTTTTTTGGAAAATCTATAATGGTTTTTATATTTTAAACTAAAATAAAAAAAAAACATATAAAAATAAAAAGGGCAGCTTATCAACAAAAATTTATTTTCAGATTAATTCTTTAATAGTTTGATTTTAAAAAAAAAATGGGCAAATGTTTTATTAGATGAACAGTTTTGAATGAAGATTTAATTAAATTTTTCGAAAAAACTTCAAAAAAAGTTCAGAATTAAAAAAAAAATGATTTAAAAATTTTTATATTAAATATTTTAAAATAATTAATATCGAAGAAAAAAATCATTTTTAATTCAAAGGTTCAATAAATTTCCTTATTTAAATAATTTTTGTGCAGTTTATTATGGAAATTCAAATAATATACATAAAATAAACAAAATACTGTCATAAAAAAAATTTAACATTGATGTTTTTCTTTACTAACATGTGGGTTTAGGAAAATTAAAAATTCATTCCGTTTGATTTCCTAAATCAATTTCTTTTTTTAAATAAATATTTGTAGATCTTGAACAAATTCATATGAAATAAATAAAAAATTTTAAAGTTTTATTAAACGTTATTATAGTAAAACAAAGATGATCAAATTAGTCAAAATATAAATGGTATTAAATTTTTTATATTGATGTATCTTAAATTTTTAAATTTTTTAAATTTAAATAATTAAATATTTTAACTAAAAAGAGAAAAATAAAAAAATTATTCTTAAATTCAAAAATTTTTTATGATTTTTTAAATAACGCATTTTTTGGTTGATAAACCAACATTTTTGAATTTCAATTTGTATCAATTATATTAATTTAATTTTTTAAAATAAAAGTTTGTTTTTTTTTTTTTTTTTATATGTAGCATATTTATTTTTCACGTTGAAAATTTATCTTCATATTTTTTGCGTTTTTTTATAAATATTTAATTCTAAAAAAAAAACATTTCATATTAAAAATGAGCAAAAAAGTGTAAAAAAATTAAAAAATTATTTTTTTTTTTATATTTTTTTTATTTTATAAATAGCCTATATATATCCATAATCATAATTTAAATTTAAAATTTTATTTTTATATTTTTCTTCAATTTAAGGTTAATTTCTTGATTTTTAAAAATTTTCTATTTTATTTAATAGATTTGTCCGAACTTGAAGAATTGTCGTTTTTTTT